TATATATGTATATGTATATATATATATATATATATGTATATATATATTTATATATATATATATATTTATATATATATAAAGAGAAAAATATTACATTTTGAGAAACAGGCTTTAAAGAGAAAATTTATAATTTTTTGAGCATTTACTTATTTTAATACTTTCCAGAAGCATATGAAGCATCATTTTTGCTCTCTGCTCGTACAAATGACTCTTTTTATTTTCTTTTTTTCATTATTTTTTACAATTATGCCTTTTTTGGGGATTTCAAGATGCTTCCGTTAAACTGCACGAATCGTACTTGTATCTAGTATTTTGAAGCCTGACACTCATTTAAAACTTGGTTCAATATATCACAATGTTTTAAGATCATTCATTTTGCTACATGACTCATATTGAACTGTGCAATAGCCATATGTAACCCTAATTTTAGAGTTTTTAATCCTACAAATGTAGATCTTAGAATCACTGATCATATGGTGTTAATAGCTAACTCATTTGGGTTCTGGGTCTTTCCATGTAAATATTTTGTTAATAACATAGGTTTATCTAGATCTCTAAAAATTAGCTTCGTTTAATTCCATATAGTGTATAGCACGTGCGTGTATGTGTTAATGATCATAGTGCCTTTCTTCACATTCAGCTTCTGTCTTTTAAATATTGCATCAGGCATTTTTAATTGCAGGACACTGTCCATGTTGAGGACTCTCGTTTAAAGACAGAAGATGAAAATAAACAGCCCAGACAGCAGTTTTCTCATGCTGTATGGATCATTAACATTATTTCTAATAGCCATACTGTAATATCTTTAAATTTTAATATTAAAATGTTGATGAGTCGGTTATGACCACTTGAGCATTTCCTATCACTTAAAAACATCTGGAAACATCTCTCTCTATACTGACAATGTTAAATTGGCTGTTTTCGATGTACCTTTTCTCAAAGTCTGTTAAATGTACATTCTTGAAATTTTTCATACAATTAAAGTACACCTTTCTCATACTGAAATGAGCTTTTAGCTAATTTTGAATTTTTGCATAATCTATGAATGATCTTACACAAGTACAGTCTTTGTAACAGTGGGGAGTTGGGAATCCTTCACAGCACATTGTTTTGAGACTTTGGACAGCATTTCAAATCGTACAACAGGGACGGCTCTAGGGACGGACAAACCGGACCCCTGCCCGAGGCGGCAAATTTTAAAGGCGGCATTTGGATCAAATTTAGAAAATATTTTTTAATGTTACAAAAAATGTGATATATCTTCTGAAACATTATTGGATATTTTCGGAAATATTATTGGATGTGAATTTGGTATTACATTTAACGTATCTTATTTCCTTATTTTGTACTCTATATGTTTAATGTCAGTTTTCTTTCGCATTGAATTTTGAAGGGTTCGAGGCGGGAGTACATGTTAAATTATGAAAATTGATATGTTTACATAATTTTCACTAGTAACTTTCTCCGCATCCAGGAGAACGGACATTCCTTTCACCCCATACGAAATCTGGTGCCAGTTTTTCTAAAGGGGACAAGGGTAATAAGAGCTATTAGTAGATAGAGAGCCGCAGGAAATGTTTTATTTTAGTCATGTGAGCATAGTTACTATAAGTTAAATTATAAGCTCTTTTAAACCCCGCCATCAGTAAGCTTTTTTTCGAAGAAATTGGCCTTCAGAAACGGGCTATTTCTTTTCTTTTATTTTACTAATTTGAATTCATAACAGAAGCGTAGTTATCGCCGTATCAATGATACGGGGCCCCAAAATGTGTAAGCAAAACATCGTAACATGTAACCTCTCGATCTGCAGCCGAATGCTCTACCACTGAGCTATACACCCGCGTCGGTGAACTTTTGTTTTGTGTTCCGTAGGAACGTTTACGAAAGTGCTTTGTCTACAAATATACAAAATGAGACAGATCCTTCCCGCCTTCAAATCCTCAAAAAAAATTTTCTCTTCACTTCCCTGAAGAAGACTCCCGAGTTTGAACCGGGACCACTCGATCTGCAATCGAATGCTCTACCACTGAGCTATACACCCGAGTCAGCGAACATTTGCTTTGCGTTCCGTAGGAACTGATACGAGAATGCTTTGTCTAGAAATATGCAGAACGGGACAGATCATTCCCGCCTTCGACCCCCTCCCCATATTATTGGTCCTATTGTCCCTGTGCGGGTGTGTTTAAATTTATTTAAACCGTGATTAACTCAGATTTGGCTGGTCCGATTGACTGAAGGTTAGTATCGTTCAACTCTGCTCGTGACCGCCTTTCGTCCTTGGCCCAGCTTGCCCTGTTAAAGACTTTTAGAAAGATTTTAATCTTGTTACGCCAAAGAAGTATAACTTCTTACGTGCATACATAAGTACACACACACTTTTTTAGAACATTATATAGGATTATATATATGTGTGTGTGTCTGTGTTATAATTATAATTTTTTGCTTTGGAAGAGAGGCGGCATTTTTCATTTTTGTCCGGGGTGGCAAAACTGCTAGAGCCGGCCCTGCGGACAACTTTGAAGAGAAGGGACAGATGACAGACAGCAGACAACCCATATCTCGTTTTATGTAACAAAGAGGCTGGACAATTGGACTCTATTTACACCACAACAGGTAAGGTGAGTGGGCCATTAATTTTCTTATCAGAAATGGTAATAATTGTAACGGCGAATTGTGTCAATATCAACCATGATTTCGAGTATTCTTTACGGATGGGAGCTATTTTAGACTGATTTGCAATTCTAGATTCATATACCTTTGATAAGTGCATGAATCATACAAAAACTCCTCCATCATAATTGAAAATAAAGACTATTAATTTGTGATCAAATCTTCGAAGTACTAGTAAGTTCAGATACTAGTACCCGCTATTGTACCAAGGCTCTTATTCCTGATGTGGTTCTTTTTAGAGGTGCATTGGGTCGTTTCTGTGGGTTGTTTTGGTTGATTCCTTATCATGGAAGACGATGCCATACATCATTGTGCATTGGATGTTGAAGAGAGCTGTTGGAAAATAAATATATTCAAAGCACACACGCAGATAGATAGAATGGTATATCGAATAAGGCAGCGTTTCTCAAACTGCGGGGCGCAACCCCTAGCAGATAGTGATGATTCTACGTGGAAGGCAAGAGCATATAGAAAAGTCGAAATAAAATATTATTTAAAAATATTATTAATGTACTGAAATGAAGCAATCCAAAATACACATTCTGACATTATAAAAAATAAAGTATACTCATTTACACTCATATACATCTAAATGTATCAGTACTGAACAATGTGTTTGATAATTAATTTTAGAAAAAACTAAGTTAAGAACAAGTTTAATAATTACCAGTGACTCCATGGGCTTGTGTGTGCTATATATAAAATTATATAGAAAATTTAATAATTATCTTGATAATTTTCACAGTTTATATTTAAAGTCATAGAGTGTAGCTTTAGTATCAAAATACATTATTATTAAATTCGATGCATTGTTATTGTTTATGGAAGGGAGCGCAATGAAAATTATGATTGAGAACTGGGTCACAAATGTTGAAAGTTTGAGAAGCACTTCAATAAGACATTCTTTGGAGGCTTTTAGCAACTACGCCCTCAGATACCAGCAATGATTCCAAATTTGCGATTAACGTGTAAAAGGAAGGAACAACAATGGCTGGACAGCTTTTTGATAACATTATAGTCAGCATGAACAGATTTTGGAAATCCTATATGGAGTCAAGAGTATTTTTTATTAAAGGCTAGATTTTCATCTCAGCCATCTGTCCGATGGACGTTTTAATTTTTTGTCCAATTGCTTTTGAAGCAATCATTTCAATAAAGATCTTTCTTATGCATCGGATTTTTGTTTCGGGAAATTTGGTTCACATCTCTAAAGCCCTTAAGATCTAATGGTATTATTTATGTAGATTTAGAACACTTACATTAGAAAAACTGTCTTTTCCTTTACTTTTACATATCAGAGTCTTAAGAAAGCAAAACATACCAGATAATAGCCACACAGAAAATAAAATGTTAAATGTTCCGTTTATTGAGCTGTTTTTATACTTTAATTTACGAAAGGAAAAAAAAAATATTAGTCGAAAATATTGAAAAAAGGTTGGCTTGCAGTCAGAATATAAAATAGGTTTTACGAAACACTTTCACAATATTTTAAAACGAGATATGCTCTGAATTATAATTACAGTGGAATCATATTTCATATTCTCTCTTTCTCTACTATTCTTTTAATCGTAATAATACATGAGCTTCAAATCACTGATGTATAAATAACTTTAGTTTTTTTTTTCTTTTATTTCTTTTTATCTGGTTTGAAGTTACTACATACAAGTAAGTCTTGGAATATATAATTTTTTTGCAGTGAAAGAGGTAATTTTATTACAAAACATGAAGTATTACACAATTTATTACAGCAATTTATCTACTCACAATATTTTTAAATATTTCAAAAAAAATTTTTTATATGTTATATAAATTTGTTTATGACTTCATGGGATTAATCATTTTGACTAACAAATATGTTGAAAGTTTTTATACATATAACATTTATGAAGTTTTTAACTTTTAGGAGAAACTTGTTTAAAGAAAAATCGTTTCTTAAAGTGAATTTGGCAGTAATTTTGTTAAATCATCAAAAAATATGTTAACATTTCGTGGAATAGGGGCATATTTTGTTTTCTTTATAATCAATATCACGAATCTAATTTTTCTGCATTTTTGTATTTGCAGCATCCGAGATATGTCTTTTAATACTATGTCTTTTGCTTTTTATATTGGGTTGTCAAGAAAGAAATTTCGGTTTTTGATAAAAAGAGTTTCTGCAGAAAAAATTAACTTTAATCTGTCAAATATCTTCCATTCTATTCAATTACTTATTGCCATTTTTCTGATAATATCATGAATCCACTCTCATTGAGTTTCTGGTCCTTAGCATTAAGAAACTCGAACAAGTGCGATCTGAGGTCATTGTTATTATTAAACTTTTTACCATTTAAAAAGTTTTGTAAAATTCAAAATAAATTATAATTAGATAATGCAAGGTCGAAGCTATATGGAAGATGCGACATCATTTCCCAACAAAGTTCCAATAATTTCGTATCCCTTACTGAAGATTATGTAAAGGTTTCGCCTGCGCGCCTAGAGAAGTGGGAGAAAGGGAAGGAAGATTAGCCATATTCAAAATCACTCAATTTATTTACAACACAAACCACAGCACAAGTTCGATCAACCAAAGAGATGCACCCAATTAATAAATATGAAGACAATTTACGAGGTACACGAGATTTGAGAAGACTAATTAAATCGGACCTTTACATTACTTCAATAGCTCTGCCCTCTTAAATTCCTAATCCAGATTCAATCATAAGTGACAGACCGTCACCTTAAATAATACAATTATCAATTACTAAATATCGGTGCCTCACAGTAATTTGATTAATCACTGCTCCACTCTAGCAGTCTACCCTACCTCTTGCTTTCTAACCTGAAAGCCTAGACTTAATACAGTAATTTTTCTTTGCATGTTCTCGTTTTCTTCTTCGGAGGAAGCTTGCTAGTAAAATATTTTTTATGGACCAAAACCTCTCCAAGAGGGCTGATAGTTAGAAGATCGCGGATAGAGTCGTCACAATTATGTTAAGATATATCAAGTTTGGACCATGATCCTTTTTGATTAATTTAATTGTAGACGATCTATTTTTCGTCCCCGATATTGCACCATCGCATTATCATTTATATAAAAGTTTCCGAAACTTTTTAAATGGTAAAAACGTCAGTAATAATTATGACCTCTAATTGCATTTGGTTGAATTTTTTCGCTGATAAGGACCAAAAACTGTATGAGCTCAGAATCCTGAAGTTGCCAGAAAAATGGCAACAGGTAATCAATCAAACAGAATGAAAATGTATTTAACTGATTAAAGTTTATGTTAAGTACATATAAATTTGGCACTAAAAATGCGAAATTACTTTCTTGCAGACCTAATAGGTATCGCAATCAAGAATATGTGACAGCTTGCTCAAAAGTAAAGAAATATAATGCCCATAAATATGTTGATTTGAGGCTGGACTTATTTGTAATTTTGGAACTTTCAAATTCAGTAAATGGTCTCTGACTAAACTGGAACTTTAAATTAATGATTTTCTTTACCAGTGACCTCCTGCGTTGCATTATTGTGAATTGGGATTCTTTTCAATCGGTATTTCATTAGAAGCTACCAAAAAAGAAAATTGCAGATGTACTTCGCGGAATGTTAAACAAAGGTCAATTTACAAAGACATGAAACATGAATTTATTCTTCTTTCTTTTATTTTCCAAAACGTGCATCATGTACATTTCTTCGTCTAACAACATAATCGTCCAGATCTAAAAGTTACTTAAAAGACTGGAAAATGAAAACATCACTTAGGTGTCGTCTTTGTCACTTCATCATAGTTGAAAATTATGAGGTATTTCACCAATATCCCCCAGGCTGCTTTATAAAGCAACGTTAATATCACTACAATGTAAAAAAAAATGTTTTTGCTTTTTACAAATTTATTAAAAATGTCTCATGTTTATCAAATTTTTAGTATTTTTTTTCTGACGATATCCATATATCATTTAAAATATGTAGAACTTTATACTATAAATTATATGATATATATACGAAATGTGTTTCATTTCATTTTAGCCTTAGGTGTAGTCTGGTTTTAAAAATAAAGAACATTTTTACCCAATAAATATTTATATATTTTATTAAATTGATATCTGCAAGAAAATTGTGAATGTTAAACACACTTTAATAGAGTCAAGTTGTACGTATATGTATATTTCTGTTACACAAAATTAATTTC